AGGGCTGTGGACCCTGAGGATTCAGCTGAAGCAGGCAATGAAGCAGACCCCCGCACAGCTGCCATCTCCTGTCTGAGCTCCTCCAGCTGTTCCACTGGTTCCTCTTTATTACCTCTAATGCCTCCTCCGAGTCCCTCGATGTCATATCAAGTGGAAAGAGAACAGGGAGGATTTGAAGTTTCCTGAAAGCATTATTAGAACACAACAGGGAAACCCATGAAACATAATCCAAGTAAGATTGTGTTTTGGAAATGTTATTGTGTTAGGAATGCAGGAAATTGTCTTATGCCTGGGTCGGACCACTGGTCCAACTAGCCCCCTGTTGCCTGGACTTGTCCAATCACTTGCTCCCTAACCCTTTAAACTGGAGGTGCTGGAGATTGAATTTGTAATGTAGGCATTTGCTTTACCACCAAGCTGCAGCCTCTCCTTATACTGTATTGCACTGCATCAAGTGAAGAGATCATCATAGCTCTAGGCTTTTGTGTGAATAGTGAAGGCCAACTCTTTGATACATCTCATCTGCTTACTTGGTGATAGGAAACTGATCTAGAAGGCTTTGATCTACCAAGGCTGCCCAAATACTTTTATTAAAGTGTAAATCTGGCAAAGTTTGCTATTGCCTTCTATTCTTAGAATCACAGAATTGTAGGGTTGGAAGTGATGATAAGGGTCATCCAGAAGAGGAAGAAGAAGGAGAGTTTGGATTTGATATCCTGCTTTATCACTACCTGAAGGAGTCTCAAAGCAGCTAACATTCTCCTTTCCCTTCCTCCCCCACAACAAACACTCTGTGAGGTGAGTGAGGCTGAGAGACTTCAGAGAAGTGTGACTAGCCCAAGGTCTCCCAGCAGCTGCATGTGGAGGAGCGGAGATGCGAACCTGGTTCCCCAGATTATGAGTCCACCACTCTTAACTACTACACCACACTGGCTCTCTAGTCCAACCCCCTAAAATGCAGGAATATGAACAGTTGTGAGCTGCCCTGAGTATATCTTGATACAGAAAGGGAATATCTTTTGCCACCCTCAGAAGCTGCGGGGAGTGCATAGGTGAAGGCCTTATCTGTGGCAGCCCCTATGTTGTCGAACTCCCTCCCCACAGACATGCATCTGGCAACTTCACCATAGAGCTTTCAGAGAATGCTTAAGATCAGACATAGGCAAACTCGGCCCTCCGGATATTTTGGGACTACAGTTCCCACCATCCCTGACCACTGGTCCTGCTAGCTAGGGATCATGGGAGTTGTAGGCCAAAAACATCTGGAGGGCCGAGTTTGCCTATGCCTGCTTAAGATGTTACACTTTACCCTGGCCATTGACACCTGAGATATATATTTGTATGATCCACCCTGTTCTTCCAAATCTAATTTGTTTTAGATGGTTTTTAACATTGCATTTTGAGTCGTTGCAATAATAATACACGCATTATGAGGTGATTTACAAATATACCAAAAAGAAAGCTAAAACTAGCTTAAAATCTGTGTAAAGAAACAACAACTTAAGATGAGGAAACAGATAATGGACACAAGGAAACCAACATAGTTTGTCAAGTGGTATGCATGGTAACAGTCCTAGATAATAGTAATAATATATTTGATTTGTTTGTCAGTTAATGCAAAAATCTCCAGGTGACTTATGCACACAACTAAAAAAACAGGGCACTGCCAACAATACGATTGCATTGTTAAACCTGCTTTTAAACAGATTAATCATAAGGCAATGTGGCACCTGGCAGGATTTGTGGCAGCTTTGGGGCTCAGCACAAAAAAAGCGATGGTAGTCCATGGGAGAAGGGGAAGCCACTTGGAGAGGTTTGAGGTAGGCCATGGACCCTCTCGGTCCTCTGCCAGGGAATCTTGCCCTCCACCGGCCGAGAACGTGTCCACTTGTTTACATTGCATACGAGAGCTGAAATGATAGGATATTATGCTAGCAGTTTATGGACAATTAAATTTAAACACCATACTCCACTGCCTTGGCACCGTTAAACAAGCCACTTTGGTTATCTGCCCCTGTTCAGGGGGGGAGGCATCGACCGTGACAGAGGAGGAGAGAGTCCCTGGGGATTAATGATCCCATATAGCAAAAGAGGTGGAGTGGGGAGTTTAAAAAGAAAGGGAAAGAAAAGAGGGCTTTATTTTTTATTAGGTCTTAAATAATTAATAGGCCAGTGGTGCTCAGCGGCTTAACCGCGCTCTGCTGCTGCAGCGATCAGGCCCTGGAGCCCATGAAATCTGTGACACAGGCCTCCGGGTTGCCTAGCAACCAGCGCAGGCCCAGATATGCGCTCGGCCGTATCACAAGGCAGTGTTACTGCAATTAATACAGCGCATCGCCAATGGCCAGAGCTGCATTACTAGTCCTTTTTATTTTATTTTACATTTTAAAAAAAGAAAAGTCAAAATTATTTGCTGATTTCTAAAAAGAAATCCTTGCCTTAATTCAAGAAATCATATGAACCATGTAAACTAATCACCTAGATATGGGTTTTTGTTGCATTGCTTATTCTGCTTCTGCTAGGCAGAAGTCTAAGGAGCTGTTTGGGACATTGTAGTCTTTTCCCTCACTAACCTAAATCTTTGAGGTTTCACTTTCTCATTCGTTTCAGACACATCTGTGTAGTGCAGCCATGTGGACTAGAAACAAAGGAAGCCAAAAGATTTTCTTCAGATTGCAGGATTTTGTGTTGAATGCCAAATGCTCCTCTTTCATGAGGTATTTATGTTGCCTTGGATGTTGAAAGTGCTGTGAGGTTGGCTGGTCATGTTATCCTCGACTGTTTTGCAGACTAGAAAGGTTAGGCAGTAGCAGTTTTGGCTAAAGCCACCCAGTGACTCTGAGGCTAAACAGGGGACTACTTAAACCCTTGACAGCATGGATGCTGAGTCACGGACATGGAGGCCAAATGTGGCCCTCCAGGCCTCCCTAGCTGGCCCTCCCCTTCTTTCTAAACCACACTCCAAACCAGCTGTGCTTGTTCATTTTTGCCAGGCTAGAATATGCCTTTCAACCCTAATAATGTTTCTTGCTTGCTTGAATGAAAGTTAGAGAAGGGTCTGTATGTAGGTACTAGCCTGCCATCTAAAGGTAAAATTAGCTTTCTTGGCTCCACCCCTTTTGCTTCTGGCCCCACCCACCACTGTCATGTGGCCCAGGAAAAGTTGCCTAAAGTGGAATGTTGCCCTTGGGTTGAGAAAGTTTCCCCTAGGCATTGCCTCTTAGTGTTTGGGAAAACTGAGGAAGATAGGATTTGGGGCTGGAAAAACTGGCTTACGTACAACACTAAAAAAAACAACACCTAGAGAACAGCCGCAGCTAAAAGGCAGGCTGCTTAAGTTCAGTGAAATCTCCCACTGGGGAAATAAGACTTGGCTTCTGAGAATGAGCATGCTATGAGCTAATTCCAAGAGGCCTTTTCATTCTCAAGTAGGGAGATGGTGAAGCTGATGTATGTCAGAGGAACTGCGCAGAGTGCGGACCGTCCGGCAGCAGCCATCCATTCCATGTGCTTTAAATGTCTCTCAGCTCCTTTAAGCACAGGGCTTCTTTTAAATCACCCATCTTCCAGAGAACTCAGTCACAAGCAAGCCGATGGGTGACCTTTCCTGGCGTGGCATGGTAATTGCTTGACTCATGGGCCATTTATTCAGCTCCAAGGCAGATGGGGAAGTGGGGAGATTGAGGGGCAAGCTATAAGGAGAGTGATACTAGCCCCACGGAGAGCTTATCGCCCCTGTGAAACAAGGCTAGGCAAATCCCTCTCGGAAAAGGCAACATTACAATAAGTAGAGGGGAAATTGTCTCTTTGAACTTGGAACCCCCTCCTGCCCCCTTGAGAGATGAACTAAGGTGACAGGAGCTGAGTTTCACGGGAGGAGGGAGGAGCCACGTGCAGCCCTTGGCACATGGCCCCGGTGAAGAAGGCCTGTCAGAGGCATTTTCATCCGCTTCGGCGGCATAGAAACACCCAGAGCTGAAGAGTCTAGCGGCAGTAGGGTGAGGGGCTCATTTCTTCCCCACAGAAGGGCCAGCAAGGCTAACTTGTGGCATTGCAAATCCAGGAGGGGAAAGACAGCATTCATTTGCCGGGAGTCTCTGCCCAAACAGAGGAGAGCTCAGCATTACGGTCAGTCTCTAGCATTTGTCTCGTCTTGCAACAGCTGTGCAAATACATCTGCAAATGTGATTAGCCCACAGCCATTTTTAGGAGCTGAACGTGGCTGTCCAGGCAGATCTAATCTACATGAGTCAAATGGAGCACTTACTAAAGGCCTGGAATATATATATATATATATATATATATATATATATATGGGAAACAACTCTCTTCCACTCTGCAAAACAACCTCGCCTCTTCTTTGCCAACAGCAGCTCTGAATTGCGGCTGGGAATCAGAGCTGCAGCGATTTACAAAGCTTAGCCAGAGGCATTAGGCCCCCGGTTATCAGCTTGCTATCGATGTGTTACCAACCACTAAAATGGCTTCTGGGTGTGCAGGTGCAAGAGAGACGTTCCCTGCACCATGAATAGTTGGGTAGAAAATGGGATTTCAGCAGGTGCAGCTTGCATGGCAACTGACACCTGCTGAAATTCTATGCACCAATTCAAGGTGCAGAAGCTCTGCACTCCTTCGCATGATAAGCATCCCTTGCTGAAATCTTCTCTTCTGCACCACTATTAAAGGGGAGGAAATCCTGTTCTCTTTTGCACCCATTGCTCTCGCAACTTGTAGCTGGTGTTCACAATGACATTCTGGAAAGAGATAGATTGGTCCGCGGTCGTGTCTGCTCCAGTATCGCCAAGCTTAAATTCCTGCAGCACATGCTACATTGCTTGGCTGCCTTTGAAAAGTGTTCAGAAACGTCAACTAACACATGACACCAGGTCAGTAACTGGGACCGACTGCTATCAATGTATCACACCAATGTTAAAAGAGCTTCGTTGATTGACAGTTTGTTGCCAGGCTCGACTCGAAAGGCAGCTTTTCACCTTGAAGGAGGAAGGATCTGTAGCTCATTGGCAGAGCATCTGCTTTGCATGCAGAAGAAGCCAGGTTCAGTCCTTGGCATCTCCAGGCAACAATAGATTCTTGTCCGAAACCCTGGAGAACTGCTGCAGCAGACAATCCTGAGCTAGATGACCAATGGTGCGACTTAGTAGAGGACAGCTCCCTGTTTTCCAGTGACTTTTATGAAAGGCCATAGGTAAAGGTAAAGGGACCCCTGACCATTAGGTCCAGTCGTGACCGACTCTGGGGTTGCGGCGCTCATCTCGCTTTATTGGCCGAGGGAGCCTGCGTACAGCTTCCGGGTCATGTGGCCAGCATGACTAAGCCGCTTCTGGCGAACCAGAGCTTCACACAGAAACACCATTTACTTTCCTGCCGGAGCGGCTCACCCCATCGCAGGGATTCGAACCGCTGACCTTCTGATCGGCAAGTCCTAGGCTCTGTGGTTTAACCCACAGTGCCACCCGCGTCCCTCTGTGAAAGGCCATAGCCAGCGCCTTTTTTTCTTTCAGGGGGTACTCAAGGGTACACAGTACTGACACCTTTTTTATTGTTAAAAAGTGTGGCACTTACTGTAACAACTTCATGGTGAGTACCGGCACTTCTTTTTCTAGAAAAAAAAAAAGCACTGGCCATAGCTCAGTAGTAAGGTAAAGGTAAAGGGACCCCTGACGATTAGGTCCAGTTGCAGATGACTCTGGGGTTGCGGCACTTATCTCGCTTTATTGGCCGAGGGAGCCAGTGTACAACTTCCGGGTCATGTGGCCAGCATGACTAAGCCGCTTCTGGCGAACCAGAGCAGTGCACGAAAATGCTGTTTACCTTCCCGCCGGAGCGGTACCTATTTATCTACTTGCACTTTGACGTGCTTTCAAACTGCTAGGTTGGCAGGAGCAGGGACCGAGCAATGGGAGCTCACCCTGTCGCAGGGATTCGAACTGCCGACCTTCTGATCAGCAAGCCCTAGGCTCTGTGGTTTAACCCACAGTGCCACCTGCATCCCAGCTCAGTAGTAGGGCACATGATTTCCTTGCAAAAGGTGGGATAAATCCAGTACTACTGGAAATGATGTTTAGTCACTTCTATGGCATTTAGAGTTACTACCTGGAAGACTAAAGCCTTACGAAACATAACTGAATGGAAATAGTTTCTCTTGAGTCAGAAAGAAGAAAAAGGAAGTGGCTTCATGATCAATGGTGCGTGAGAGGAAAGGTCTGCTAGCATGCATGGATTCTGATCTCAGTTAATTTGAGGTATGATGCCATTATCACAAAACCACAGACTGTAACATTTCCTTTCTCCATTTGCCGGCCTTGTATCTGATGTGGACATCTGCAGGAGATTGCCTCCAGTGCATCTGAGCTGTGGCCCATTGAGGAAGCATCACTGGCAGAGAGTGAGCTACTTCTGCTTGGCAGCCCAGGAGAATGTTGGCCCGTTCACATTTTTGCAGAGGTGTAGCATGACTCTTAGGCTAAATCTGGCTGGCATTATATTCTTGGGATGCATCAGTTGGCAACGTGGACAACGAAGTGCTTCAGAGTATGCATCTCATTAACATCTCAGCGCTTGAGTCATCTGGTTGCATTATTTTGAGATTTAAGGTGCTGGATGTCAGATCTGCCTTGAACAGGAAAGAGGAGGAGCTGTGCATTCGGGGGCAGGGCCACCTGCTTTTGGGGGTGGGGCTAGCCACCTGCGGGGGTGGAGCAAGCGACCCAGGGGGAGGCGATGTCAACCCCCCATCAGGGATGACACCCAGGGCAGACCGCTCCCACCGCACCCCCTTCCTCCGCCAGTGGAACAGGAGTCTAGCCTTGCTTTCTGCAACAGTGTCACATATCTTATTCTCCTCTGCTAGCACTCAAATAAATATTCAGAAATATTGGATTGCTTTGAACATTTCAAATTCTGAAGGATTTAATTTGAAAATTCAGATCTGCAATATGAACATGGAAGCTCAACATGGGATTGACTCGTTGGCCTGATTCTTGACTTGTTCCAAAAAGGTATCAAATGTGAACATTTACCAACCATCAGATATCAAAAGTTAAGGACTGTATTCAATGTTAGTCATACTCAGAGCAGACCCATTAAAATTTATTAACATTAGTGAAGTAGATCCAGTGGTCTAGTCTGATTAGTACCGAGCTGGATACAACCTTAAATTGTCAGTGCTCTTGTAACTTCTAGGTTAGATTCCTGCAATGGGCTATATGTGGGCAGATTAGAAACTGGATCTGGTGCAGAATTCAGCAGCCAGATTCCTGACTTGGGTAAGACAATTGGAGCATATAGCACTAATCTTATCATGACTGCATTGGGTACCAGTTAGTTTCCAGGCTCAATTCAAAATGCTGTTTTTAACCTGCAGCCCAGAACCCCAATACCTTAGGGACTAACTCTCCCAACCTGAATGAACCAGACTGATGGGAGTTGTCACCCAAAAACCTCTGGAGGACACAAGACTCTCATCCTCAGTTTTTCCATCTTGAAAATGGGACTAATTGTGACTCACATTACACTGTGGATTTAGTAAAGGTTGAAAAACCACTCTACAATCAATCAATGGCTGTAAGAGGAAAAATTACTCCCAGAAAAGAACCACCAACTGATGCTGGTACCACCTCCCTTCCACTAGATGAGACTCCCTCCCTGCAAGGGTTAAAAACACTTGCTATAATTAGGCCCTAATTGTTAGCAGCTGTACCCATTATCAGTTTAATGCCTAATTAATTGCTACAATTAATGCCACTTTGCCATGCCTACACCCATCTTAAGGAGTATTTGCAGGGTGATTTTGTTGAAAGTTATATGTTAATTAATTTGATACCATTTTCCCCCTCCGTTTTTAATTAAATATCCTGAATCCACCGGTATTTCCCCACTGCAAGCAATTAAAGAGTCAGGGGTCAATTAAGTCTGTGCTGACCTCTGAACCCTCTTGCTGGTGTGACGAGCAATGGCGCGAGGCCCCGATTAGCTGTTTAGCTTATTGATTCCGCTTTGAAGGCACCAACTTTGTGGAATGACTACCTGTTATCAGTATGTTCAGGGCTAGTAGCAGCTGAATGGAGCAGAGAGGAAAGGCTTTGATACAGCCTGTATGTGATTACCCACTCCATGGTCTCTTCCAGGTCCCCAAGAGCCCTGCTCTGTGTTGGAGAAGGGAATTGATATTTTCTCTTTTTCCCATTCCTTTTTCCTCTTACTCTGCTTCATTTTAAAGTCAAAGTGTTATTGTTTTACAGGAGAATTTCTGTATTAGAACACCCATGATTCGATAAGCATACACACACAGCAAACACCATATTCAGATGTTCTAATTGCCCCGTGTGATAATGAGAGAGATCAGTGACACATGTGCTAGCTTCGCCACCTTCTCACCATGCTCATCACTTTCAATTTGTGGAGGACACACTGGGACAATGGTGGAGGAACAGCGTTAGAGATGGTGATGCAGACTTGCAAACCATCCCTATTGACATAGCTGTCAACTTTTCCCTTTTTTAAAGGGAAATTCCCTTATTCCAAATAGGATTCCTCACAAGAAAAGGGAAAAGTTGACAGCTATGCCTATTGAACTGCCTGTAGAACTCGTGGAAGATTTTAGGCTCTGTGGCGTTTGCCATCCTAGGTGTGCGACATCATACTGGGTTCATAAGGAAAGGGTTAACTAATTGTAAAATGACTAACCAATGGGAACCCAAGGGGCAGAGTTAATTGTGTATAAGGTTTAAGCACAAAGGGTTTTTGGAGGAGTTAGGAGTTAGAGTGGTTGAGAAGACAGTCTGGAGTTAGAAGAGACAGAGAAGATAAGTCTGTGGGTTGGGCTAGTCTGGTGTGAGAGAGCGAGAGAATTTGTTAAGAGGAGTCAGTCAAATAGTTGAGATAATCAGTCAGAAGGTATTAGGAAGGTATAGGGCAGTAAAGAAACTAAAGTTAAGATACTGACAGGAATATTATCTGAGAAACCATAAACTTGTTAATGTTTGCAAAATAAACTTGTTTTTTTTGGTTCACTTTTAACAACTGACTGGACCCAGTGTTTTACCAGAAAGTAACTGGTTGGTGGCAGCAGGGAAGCGACCACAGTGGTGGCACAGGGATCAATAGACCATTAAACATCCGGGGACCCTGTGTGATAACCACAGGCTCTCTTGTAAGAATCATGATTGGCTATTCCTCTTTGAGTGATGGAGACACTTTGCCTTTTCCCCAGAGACAACCTGATTGTGTCATTTTTCTCTTAAATTATTCTTCCCCTTTTCTATAGTCCAGAGAGTATTCCCCCCCCCCGAAACTGATGGGGGACAAAAAGTTTTAGAGCCAGGCGTTTAGTGGAAGGTCACAGGTCTCAGGCTGGTTTAGAAGATTGGGTTGGTGAGAGATGAGAAAGAACCTCTTCATCTACCTCAGACCCTAAAGCAGAATCCACTATCCTGCAGATCTTCATATCTTTTGGACTACAACTCCCATCAGCCCCAGCCAGCCAGTCAGTCCAGGAAGGCTTTCCTAGAGAACCTCTGCCAATCTGAGTAGACAACTGAGTTACATCAGAGGTGGGGGGCCTTTTGCAGCTGGAGGGCCACATTCATTTCTGAGGAAGCTTTTGAGGGCCATGTGCTCGTGGTGTAGTGGTGGGCAGGGGTAGGGACAAAAGGGCGAGGTGCAATAAAAGTTGCCTTTGTACAGCAGGCTGATTTCTACATGCAAACACATATACCTTCCTCTGTCTTCCATGCAGACAAAGCAAGGGACATCATCAGAGTCCAAGGGCATATTCCAGCCAGGCACAAACACTCAAGGAGGATATGAAGCAGAACCAGTGAGGGCTGTGGCCTGGAGAGACTTCCGAGGGCCAGATAGGGAGGCCTAGAAGGGCCGCACTCGCCCCTTAGGGCTGAGGTTCCCTGCTCCTGGGCTATATGGACCAGTGCAGCACATGGGCTAATGAAGGCGACTTCACATGGCCGTGATGGGGAACAGATAGAAACTACTGATAAATTCTAGTTAAGATGGCTGACAGTGTTGGGAAATGCAGAAGAAGTAAAAGAAAAGAAAAA